ACCTTATGCATGCTACAACTTTTGGTGGAAAAGAGCTTACTAGCTACATGGCGTAACCACCGAAACAAATATTCCATTAAGAGTGATATTCATTAGAAGAGAATGTACCAAGTCCAGGAAGCTCTCTCTAAAAGAGGTTCTGGAAATTGGTGCATGCAAAGTTATTATGCATTTTGGGAAGCTGTTTAACATGCATCTTCTTCTAGGTCACATGAAGGCAATCTTTCATTCAGAACTAAGATCAATACATGTATTAATTACAAATCAATTTCTTATTTATTAGTTGTTTTATGCTTACCATATTGGAGTAGCTCCAGTGGAAGATAGGATTAGTGAGAGTTGTCTTAGATGGCTTGGCACATAAAACAACAGCCTTTCGATGACCTGATTAGGAAAGTAGATGCATTAGATTTGACCTATATTAAGAAAGGTAGAGGTAGACCTAAAAAGATTTGGTTATAAAATATTAGAAATGACTTTTTTTTATTAGATTTAGATGAGAATTTGACTCTTAACATGATACAATGAAGAAAAATGATTCATGTAGCCAATCCCACATAGTGGGATAAAGGCTTGTTGTTGTTGTTGTTGTTGTTGTATGCTTATCATATTGGATAAACTAGTCTTTTGCATGGGTCTATTTTAATGTACTTATGTGGCTGAAATTAGGCGAGCTACAAGTTTGCATGATCAAATGGTGTTAGAGTTCTTGGGTTTTGCATTTTAGATGCGTAATATTTGTATTATTAGGGATGAGGAATAAAATCTGTTGTTTTGGGCATAAAAACAATCATTCCATCTTTTTTTCTGTTTTTTTCCAATATTTATTAGTTTTCTAAATGGTAAAGCTAGAAGTATAATGCTTACCGTTTAAAACTCTCTTATGATGCACTTAGGCTAGTTGTATTGATGAGTAAAGGTTTGAGCATAACTTGCTATGGGTAAACTTTCGACTCTTTTTACCATTTTTTTTCCAAGTAAACCAAAAATCCATACTTGGTATACTGTTGAAGTTTCTCCATGAATTAATTATTAACGTTTTAGATATTATTTTCATGAAGACTTATAGGAGTATTATTACCTTTTAACTGATCAAGGTAGTTTTAAGGCTCATGTTGATTTTGCTAATGAAGTGCTAAAGGTATTCATGGCATGATTAGAGGCTCTACACTTTGTAACATTTTTAATGAAAGCTTGAAATCCCAAATTATGATTTCTTTTTTTTTTCTCGGTATTCTACTAATTAGAGAATAAATGTTGTTCCTTGTGTTTTTGAATGAAGATAAATTGTTAATAAAATTTGTGCCAGTTGGGGGGAGCTGTTGAATAAGCCTTGGGATGCATGTCCAAAGTTACACTAATTAAGAGAGCGTGGGGATGCATCTGATAAAAAGGGACCAAGAATCGGAGAGAGAGATGGGAGAGTGTTAGATGAAAGGGAGAGAGAGAGAGAGAACATGTAGGAGAATAATTTAACATTCATGACATCATTGTATAGGGAAGGGTTCTAATTATTAGAAGTAGGTACAAATAAAATGAAAATAATCTAAACATCTAACTAATAGACAAGACAAGCTAAATGGATAAACATGATGGGAAAATATAAAAAAATGTTAACTAATTTAAATTTAGCCTAATTTGAATTGTAACTTTTTCATCATAATCATCATTCATATCAACAAAATACTTGTTTAACTAACTCTTGAAATTCAAAATTACTAACTTCTTCAAAAGAATTCTTATTAACTTCCCAGATATCCTCAACATACCTCCCCATCAATATTCAAATCTAAACCACCCAAAAATTACATCAGCTTTCCTAATTAATGACATTACTGCATTGACTCTTTCGTGAATATTAACAAAAAGTATCATTAATATGAACAATGAACCTTCACTAGCTTTGCAGTACAATTATGGATATTGACTTTTTCTCCAATAGTATTTGGACTCTCAACTCATGGAAATATATGCAGTGTTAGATGCAGTGTTAGTTGCAATCTTAGATGCTCACTCTCAATTATTAGCATCCAATCTTATTTTGGTTGTTTAATCAATTATTTTATGTCATTTGTTCTTGTTTGTTATTTTGCCAAGATATATGCATCCTCAAAAAAATCTAAATTTAAACTCAGGCTACATTTGCTTTTTGATTAATTTAAGCAATAAAAGCTCTGGAAGCAAATGTGTGCAGAACACTCCTTATTTTGATCATCCATCGAGGAAGTGAACCTTAAATCCAATTTGCGTGGTTTTGTTATTAATAATTTTTATAGCTTGATAGTACGCTTTTTCCCATTATGAAGGTTGAAATGGTTATTTGTCATTTTGGATATGCTTGCCCTTATTTTAATTTTAGTAAACTTGGAAAGTCCATGAATTTTTGGTTATTATTAAAATTAATATAAATAGTAGGTAAGCCATAAGACTAATTTAAATGATTGATGATGCTATAAAGGGAATCTTTTGGGTGCCTCTTTTAGGATTGATTCCTCCCTTAACTGTTGGATTTCTTCATGATTTTTTTTCTTTTTATTTGCTTCCTGTCATTTGAAATATTCATTCTTCTAGTACTCTCAATCTCACTTTTCACTTTATCTCCTGATTCTCATCTTATATTGGATTCATTTCTACCTAGTAAATCAAATTTCAAGGGTTCACTACAAGTATACAATCTTCACCTTCTGTATTGTACTCATCCTTGATTTATGTTAGAGCAAATGTTCTTGTAGCCATAAAAGATTGATTGTGTAATCTCTTTAATCCTATATCCTTTGATGGAGATTAAGGTATCCATGGCATCTTCTTATTTTTTTCTTGATGCTGTTAATTTCTAAATTCTTTATCCTCATCATGGAATCCTTGATTTATATTATTATTTTTTGCTATGTGAACTTCATTAACAAAAAAATAATTTTCCTTAAGATATAAACATGAATAGTAACAATGAGAATGTACCAGTCGGTGAATAGTAACAATGTTTACATCTATGTCTCCAAGATGATTGATCATTGTTCTTTCTCTCTCTTCACCTCATCCCCATTACAAAGCTATTTCTGAAAAAGCTCCAAATGCCATCCTTCTTAAACTCAAAACCATCTCCATGTAAGCCTACTTGGTTTTCTTTTAAATTTCAATTTATAACCATTTCCACATAATTCTCATCAATAACCATGAAACACTCATTTATCACAATTTTGAACTTCAAAATTTCTATCCTCTTCAAGCAAATCCTTATTTACTTACTAAATAATCTTAACAAACCGCTCATTCAATATTCAAATCTAAACTAACCTAAATCACATCACCCTTTCTAATTGATTATATTATGACCCTTTTAATGTCATGTGAGAATTACTAGGAAAAGGTACCATTCACAACAAGTCATTAATTCATTTTATTAAAAAGAAAACATTTTTTTTATCCAATATAACTGCCTAACCTCAGTTTTAGTTCTATTAAAAAAATCATAAGATATAAGTTTACAACCTTTAATTAACATTATTAGGCATACTTAATTTAGTTTGGCAAATTCAATGCTATGCATGAACTATATGAAATCATGTAAACTTGTTAACATGATAAACATTTAATTAAAAAAGATTGGTGATATTCAACTTAATCTTATTATTCTTAATTAGATGATTAATGATGTAATTATCATATTATGCATAATTAAGCAAATTCTATACATAGAATGAAACTTTTGGAATCACTTGAACTTTCTAACACATAGTTGATCACAATTATAACGACTCGCCCATTAAGCATATGATTAGAAAATAAAATAATATTAAACGTAATTAAATAGTAAAATAATTAAAATAAATAAAAAATCAAAACAATTAAATACCCAAAAATTTATAGAATAATCTTGTATGTTGAAAGTAATTTTTGAATAGTTTTTATCAATTTTATGAGTGTTCATCATTCTTGAGACTAATTATTAAAATCTACTCAATCAAATTCATTGAATGTTAAACTTAAACACTAAGTTTTACCGACATATGTTGGAGTCTTCATTTCTTCAACACTCCTCCAACTAGGTCAGTTCTCTATTTGTCTTGTTAATTCTCCTTATAATTTGACGATTGCTTTGAAATTATAAATCATGAAAGCTAATACTCAGCAAACTATTAATTGACTCCACAAAATATTTGTTATCATTAAGTCCAATGATATATATATGTGCTCTACAGGGATTCTATTTCATTTTGGGTTGGCTTCCATTATTTTAATTTTTGTCGTGAATTTATGTCTACTACAATGGATAATAGGCTTTAGGTTAAAATTCAAGTGGTTGATTATGGAATAAAAATATAGATTTCTCTTTTGCAACTTCTTTGGGATTGATTCCTCCTGAACCTCCTAAACGTAGTTTTTTCTCTTTTTTTACCTCTACATCCACCTTCTTTTAAAACATCCATTCTAATATCAAATTCCCTCTCTTTATATTCTGGTTTCCCTGAAGATTGAATTCTTCTATTCTTAACAAATCAAATATCAAAAGCTCAACAGAATCTTTCCTTCTGTTGCCTGGCACATTGTTCTTTGTTGGATACTATAGATAGGTTTTATACTTTCATTGTTTATAAAATTGATATTTTATTGGATTTATTTTTTATAACCTTAGCTCATTCTAAATTCTGTGCTAGCTTGCCTTCTTTTTATTAGACACGGCTCCTTATGTTCTTAGCAGTTGTGTACATGTTATTTCCCTTTCAAACTGATTAACAAATTAACTTGAGTTGTTTGGTTTTTACCAAAATATTTTATTTTCTTCACAAAAACATCTTTTCCTATGATGCTTCGGATTCCTTTGTTGGTTTATCTTCTGAATCATGGCGCTAAACTTCTAGTTTCATATCTATATTCAAAAGAGTGCTTTTCCACTGCCAAGGCCTTCTGCTTTCCAATTTCAAAACCCTACTATCTAAACAGGGTACTTGTGATGCCATTGAGGGCAACTAATTTTGAACTCTGCTGATGTTTTTCTGTAGGTTAAACTTGAGGGTGATATATCCCAGGGTGTGGAATTATACAAGAAAGCTTTGTGTTACAATTGGCGCTATGCAGATGCAATGTATAACTTGGGTGTAGCATATGGAGAAATGCTGAAATTCGACATGGTCAGTGATATTTAAATTCTCATCTTTAAAGTTCTTTTATTTCTCATTCTTGCTCCTCGCTGTAAAATTCTCGCTACTTCTCTCATTTAGGTACTACTTAGTTGACTTTTCTTTTGGTTTCATGAATTGTCTTTTTATCGTGTTATAAAACTTTAATATTGTAAGTGAAATGTTTGATATCTGTCTGTGAAGGCAATTGTATTCTATGAACTTGCATTGCACTTCAATCCCCATTGTGCGGAGGCATGCAACAATTTAGGAGTGATATACAAAGATAGGGATAATCTTGATAAAGCTGTGGAGTGTTATCAGGTTAGTTCAAATGCTTGAAGTTCTTCAAGCACAATAATTTATTGTGTTTACACTATTCCTTTAAAATGCTGATATTTTCTCCTGGCCATTTTTAATGGTTCGGAATTGTATTTCAGATGGCATTGTCTATCAAACCCAACTTCTCGCAGTCACTAAACAATCTTGGGGTTGTTTATACTGTTCAGGTTTGTTCATATTCCTTAAATAACTATTTTTGTTCTTTTATTTTTTGTCGCTTTTTCTCATCAACTAATAATTTGTAGGGTAAAATTGATGCTGCAGCAGGCATGATTGAGAAAGCTATTGCTGCAAATCCTACTTATGCTGAAGCATACAATAACTTGGGTAGACATTGTTTTTTTGCTATTTTTTTGTTGATTATTGAATGTTTTTTCTTAATGTCCTAGGCAAGCTATAATTCATCTTGCATGCCTGTGCTTTATTTTTTTATTTTTGGCGTGGATTTAACTTAGTATTGTAAACATAATCTTCTTCTTGGTGAACTTAAGAAGTCCCACTGATGCAGGACTAAATGATGTTAGGATTAACTATTAAGAATTTGGCTTATTTGAAGGAAACAATATTAAAATTAGCTCATGCGACTTAACGAAGAAATAAAACAAAAGTGGGGTGAATTTAGCTTAGGCCAAGTTGCATTTATAAAAGTTGGGAGCATTGTAAATGACCATCTAGATCAATGACAGCATACAAAGAAGAGCTCCAATAAAAATCCCTCATTTTACAACGAGATAAGTTTCTATGAAGACATCCACTCATTCAATTCTCTAACTATACTAAGCTTTAGCGGAGGAATTGACAAGAGCCTTCATGAATCAATTATAAACCACAATCGGAAGCGACTAGGATGGTAGAGGAGCAGGAAGTTAAATTCAATGCTAGCACATAAAAGGGAGTTAAGAATTTTGAAATTTTTAACTTGCTTAGGCCAAAGACGTGCAATAGAAAATAACCGAGATAGTTCTTTCAAAGTTCAAGTTAATTTAAATGCAAAGTACAATTAACAAAAATCCAATGCTTAACAATGAGAGGTTCACCTCTAGGGCCTTCTCACTCAATTATTAGTAGGCTTTTAGAGGAGAAAGAAGACCCATACGATGAAAGATATTACCACTAGAGAAACGGCGCCGAAGAACTTCGTTGGTGGCGAGGTAACCGGTGGAGATGGAGGTGGTGGATGGCCGACGATGCTCCAACTGTAGTCGGGACGTCGACGGATGAGGATGCGCACGATATCTGGGACAACTCGATCCAAATAGTCTCCAATGGTGGCGTCGTCTTCAAATCCTACGTCGAAGTACGGGGATCGTAAAATGTCGAGATTTCCGTTGGCATCGAACACGAGTCCCCACTCAAATTCGGGATCCGCCATTTGACATTGGAATGGAGAGGGGAGGCGTCGTCGTCTCCTTTCCTTGGCTTCTCAATTCACAAGAGAAGCAAGATGGGGCGGCGGGAGCAAGAGGAAGAGGGGAGGCCGGCGGGTGCAAGGGGAAAGGCTAGGGTTGGAGAAAAGAGTTTAGGGAATTATGGAGGGGATTAATCAAAAATTGAAATTTAATTTCAGTTTTGAGTAATTTGGGAGGGAATTGACTTGAAATTTGAATTTTAAATCAAATGAAATTAAAGCCTTAATTGGGGAATTAATGGGGAGCTAAAAAGGGGGGAGGCCGGCGGTTTCAATAGAGGAGAGGAAGGAGTTTTAACAAATCCTGAAATAAATTTCAGGATTTGAAATTTGGGAGGGAGTTTTATTTGAAATTAATTTAATTTCAAATGAGTGAGGGATTAGTGGGGCAATTAATGAGGTGGAGCCTAGTGAGGCCGGCGGCATCAAGAGAGATAGGGAAAGGGGTGGGAGCAATTTACAAACCTTCCAAATTTGCTTGTTTGCATTAAGAGGTTTGATTATGAAATCCACTTCGATTCAAATTTCGAAATGATTTGAATTTGAAAACTTTCCATATTTGGCTTTGACAAATTTGGAAATTTTCAACTCAAATAATTTTGAATTTTCAAAATTCGAACAAGTGGGGAGTGGGGAAGAGGGCCGGCGGTGGAGGAGGTGGGGTGGTTGGCGGCTGAGAGGGGCTAGGGTTGGCGGGTTGGGAAAAGGCGAGGATCGGATGATGGGGATAGACCACGAGTCACGGACTCTTCCAATGACTGGCGGGTATTACTTTTTGCCCTCACCTTGGGCTCTCGTTCTCCTCTCTAACTCTCCACAAGAAGAAGAAGAAAAAGATAACCAAAACAAATTTCATTCAAAATATTCATTAACCTCAATACAACACATGAGACCACTATATATAGGTCTCAACTCATAAAAAGAGAAAGTACGAAATTGCCCTCTGGGCTACAATAACAAAGTAACTCCCCACAGGGGTAAAAATGGAAAGAATGCAAATGAAATAAAATAAAATGAAAATACATCATGACATCTGAATCAAAAGTAGAGGCGCTGAATCGTGGCCGTCGATCTGCGGTTTCGCCGGCGATAAACATGTCGGTAGCGTCTGTCGATGTCCTCATCA